AACATTTTAATAAGATTATATTAAATTTAGGTTCCGGTTAAAATGGTGAAAACAGAAAAACAATTGAAAGTCGGGCGAAATATTCACAAAATATATGAAATTTATGAAACACCATGTATAATTTATATATTTTTAAAAAAGGAACAAAAATTAGCCTTCTTAAACCACACAAAGGAAATACAAATGGTTTAAGGGGGCTTGGGACTGTTTTTTAAAATAATAAAAGGCTGTGTTATAATATGAAAATTATCTTTGTAAAAAATAATACACAATGTATGTTTTTATATACAAACAAAAGCCAGACGGTGTGGTTAAAAAATGTATTATCGTATTTTAGTACCTAATGAATAACGCAAAAGTTGAATGAGTTTCAAAATATGAGACATAAAAATAAAAAGTATTGGCTGAAGTGAAATAAAAATAAAGTTGATTGAATATATTAGAGCAGATATTGATAAATTCTCGAGACAAGGACCTCTTTAGCTTTTCTTTATTTATGTACATACGTTAATATTAAAAAGGTTTTTGAAATAAAATTATTAATATAAAAGTTTAAGAAAAAGAGTTGTAAAATACAGAGCATAAAGACTTTTTGTTCAAGCAGTCTATAAATTATACTGTATTGTTATCAACACTTGAAACTGAAGTAATTGATCATGACATAGGCACATACAAATCAGCAGTTAATACCATGGAACTAAAGTCTATTCAAATCCAAGCTGGACTAAACAAAAACGCCCAGACGCGTGATAACTTGTTTCTATTGGTCGATTCTGATGGTGTGACTCGGATTGTGAGCTCTCATTGGTCGATTCGGAGGATTGTGTTTACATTTAGTCCAGCTTGGATTTGAATAGACTTTAGTACCATGAGTAATTACTAGTAATTAATTGTTAGGCATAAGATGGGCGATTTCATTATTTACTGTGAATTGAATAAGGGTTGAATAGGGTTATAAATTGGATCTGTCAAACAGTCCTAACCTCACTTTCTACTTTTCCAAGTTTCAACTTATAAGATAAAATTTTGTCATTAGGCAAAGAAATGTGCTTTGCTCAAACCTGCCTGATGACTAAATAATTATCATGTGTTTTGTTATATGTGTAAACATGATTTTAATAGTTTAAGTAGTATCGAAACCGTTATATCAAGTTAATTGACAACATTTCCCTGAGGCGTTTATCAATATATAAGATAACGATGTTAACTGATGATCATGACGGTGATGGGACGAAATGCTTCATACGACAATTAACAAAATGAAATACGTTCCATGGGTGTCTAACCGTAAACTATTGCTCCCTGTTTAGCCATATGGCATATATATATATATATATATATATATAGGGTGGCCCAAAAAAAACTTCTGTTTAGAGGGGGGTATCTGTTTTAATAGATTTAACTTGCAAATCACTTCAACCTTATGTACATGAATTTATTCTACAGTAATCTGCAAGTTTACATTGTAGTAGCTCATCATTGCTCTTACGGTTGAGACGTGATACGTAGTTTCTCTGTAATGTTTAAATGAATTGGGCGTAAAATTTGTTGTGCTCAGGTATCAAAGTTTTCTGTGCTTTATTTAATTATTATTTTTTCAGCCATGCTGAGAGAATTTTTTATTGTTTGCCGAAACACACGGTGATTAAACGCAATCTTACGGTAGGTAATATTAATAGGGAGTATAAATCAACGTTAAATTGTAACTGATAAATTGATAATATTTTGCAGGCATGAGTTTGCCGAATCCAAATCAATTGCATTTAGCAGCTCAAGAGCAATGAAATGTAAATTTGCGAATCGTTTAATTTGTGGTTAGTTGTTAGTGCCAAAGCATTAGCGGAATTTGCAAAATTTGGTTTTACAAATACAGGAAAGATTTCCACAACTTTTATCATTTTATATTTTTACACCACATAAACAGACGATTAAAAGTTGCCTATCCGTGTGAAAACGGCCAAAATTTTTGTCAATAAAAATTCCATTTATAAAAAACTTGACGCTCTTTGCCAAATCATAATTTACTATTACACTTTTTACTTTTTCCAACTTCGAGTTTCGAATAAAATTCTCGTATCGTTGTTGTTAAAATGCACATTGAGTTAAATATTCAATTTAATTTTTTTTTGCTAAAAGTCTCATGTAAAGAGACCGGATTCTAGAAAAAATGCCCAATTTTGATGTATTTTTAGATTTTTTGAAGTACAAAATTTAAGTGTTATAATATATAACACAAAAAATCGTGCAACGGTTTTTTTTTTCGATATTTTTAAAATTTCCCGGCTTTATTCTCAAAATAAACGCCTAAAGGTCCGGTCTTTACTCATGAATCATGTATACTGTGGCGGTTTATTTTTTCCTAAAAATTACATATGTAGCCATGTGTTGATGCATTGCTTGCAACTTGTGAATACTAAATCTGTGAAGAATTGATCCCCCGCGACTTCTGTCTAAAATATCAGAAAAACTCTTGACGTTTGTCATTTTCGAAGAAAACATGCATTTTGTTGTCGGATAAAATGTAATATAAGGTAGATTTGATACCTTAATTATGCATGCCAGTTTAGACTAAATGTTTATGGTCCTTTTATGACAAACATTAAATTTAATATTTCAGCTTAGTTAAAAGCCTTTGTGGATTTCGAGGCAAGAAATTTCCCGTTGTTTTATTTGCTAAAGACAACCGATGTGAACTGGCTCAAAAAATGATGTTTTAGGACGTGAAATAAAATTAAAAATATCCACCCAAGGCAGATACAATACATAAAACATTTTCTAATCTAATATTCTTGCTTGTGTGTATTAGGTTGTCAGATAGATTTCTTTGTTTTTCTAAACAAGATAATAACGTGTAAAAACTCTGTGCGCCAAATACAAGGCATTGAAATGCACAGGCCTACCAAGGGAAATAAAAAAGGGTCAACTTGATGGATTAGAACGAATTTATGAAACAAAAATGATGCTCTTAACCGTTTTGTAAGTAAAAAACACTATACATCAAAATTTCATTTCGACAAAATTAACATCATTAAAACAGAGAACACTTTATCTGCAAACTTTTCCGCACACCCTAGCTTTAAAAAAATGATGATTATAAAAGTTAAAGGACAAATATATGATAAAAGAAACGCTTAGCAAAACGAGATCATTTTCTCCTCTGCTTTTTCGTATTCAAAGAACAGTAAATTAAAAGAAAAATATGGTCTAGACCTATCTCAATCTTTCATCCAACTACAACATTTTTTTTGGTGTATATGATATTTGTTTAGCAAAAACAATTAATTAGGACAAAGGTCTGAGATACAAGCCAACACACTAATTCTCCTTAATCTTTCTTATTGAGGAAGAAAACTCCAACACACGGCCAGTTAAAATAACTACCTAATTTTACTTAATCCAGGGATTAGGATCCTGCAGCTGTTTGGACTTGAAATGAGAAATCAGTGTCATCTGATATTAGATATAACCGAAATTATATTTCAACATATTTTTGTTCATAGGGCCCTGCTCAAATTTGGTTAGGCTGCCATTATAAAAAAGCTATTATGCCTTATCGTACTTCTTTCTTTGTATTTTTTTTCCACTAGGAAACCGGAATTGTGTTTCAATTATGTTTGAAATACGCTTTGGCCATTACGTTGGCGTGTTACTGCAAAACATGCAATGTTTGAAAGTAATATGGATAGCTTAAGATTCAAAAGCATTAAAAAAATAATCTGCACGCATATTCTTTAAACTTTTCAAATAACTAATGCCTTAAAATTACATATAAATAAAGAAATTTAACGATAAAACAATTTACTTTAAATTTGGTAAAGACTGTACGTATATTATCTTGTGTTTGGTGGATACGAATTTTCACCCCGACTGGTAAATTTCTCTTAGGAGGTCGTGGATGATAGTTTCGATGGTTAATTCCCCTCCCGGATTTTTGTCACCGGGCCGGGCCATACTCCCGATTAAGGCTATAGCCACTATAGTGGATTGCGGGACAAGGAGGGAAAAAATTTTGGTTTTTGGGGGACTGACCCAAAACTAAGTACAATACGAAATCCCCCTTAACCATGGTTTTAGTAATGCCTCCATTTAATTGGGGTTTATGAATGGTTAGTACGCTGCTAGTTTGTATATTATCTTTATATCTGAATTCAATTACCTGAATTGACAAATAATCTAAAACTAAAACTGTAAATAAACCATCTGGTGGAATTTTCCACATTTACCTTATACAGTTTAGATTTAAAATGGGTAAAAATAGATACAAGTCCAATATCTATTTCGGTGAACTTACTTCGAACCGCAATGTATTCTTAAATGGAGATGCAGAATTTACTTGAAGTAAACGTACGTAATTTGATTTACATTAAGGAGTTTTGAATATTGAAGGTAACTTTATGGTTGTACATACGGAGAAATTTTAAATTCAAAATGTTAATGGAATTTGTTTTGTTGGGTAACATTGATAAATAAAAATTCGGCGTAAAGTCAAAGATTTCATATATAATAATATAGAGTATATTTAATATCTGGTAAAGCTAATAAATCTCGTCGTTGTGAATGGCAGTTAAAGTGCAGAGGAAAAATGAAAATAAAATAAAAATGCCGACTAAGCATATCTGTGGTTAAAACTCCTTTATAGAGAACCGGGAAGTTTTATTTATAAAACCAAACTCAAAAAGACTAAATAAAGGGAGAGGTACGTTTTTTTGGCATTTTAGTTACTCACCCCTAACTTAGTCTTCTTGAGCAAACTATTAATGTTGAAATATGGTTGAACCAAATTCGTATGCAAAATGTTTGTTGCTTCGATGCATTGTATAATAATTGTCTGTGTAAGGTAGGCAATAGATTAATTAGTTGAATGTCAAGTATGTAATTTGTAGTTAAAGAGAGTGCCTTATGACATATTGATTCTGTCTACCTCACATTGTATTACACTAAAATTACGATTTCCATATATATATATACGCCTATAAAACTAATATTTATTATGTACTTACTTGAAAAAGTATGTGTTATTAAGGAAGCCAAAGAACGGTACAGTGTAAGTCAGCATCCATATATTTCCTCCTCCACAGTCGTAATACGGCTTCGACCATTTACCGTCTTCGTATCGAACCGATAGAATTTCATCTGGTACCCTTTCTGAGTGAACCGTCTCATTGAACGTATACGTATTGTAGCCTGAAAAAAATATTTGATTTTAATAAAGAAATAAGACATTTTTACAAACAATCCCATTATCTTTCCATCACACTAAGTAATCTTAGTAATATATATGGAGAAGCTATGGCATTATGGCGCTTTAGTCACGGGCTGAAGTTAGCTTTAAGTAAGTTAACAGTTTTTAAATGTCGTACAATCGTTAAATTAAAGTGTGAAAAAAAAAATTCTTGACCCATTACTGGTAATATTCATAAGAAAGAATTGAATCTACACCTCGCCAAAGTTTTTTGTTTTGAGTGCGTTACACCAACTTCAAATGCCGACAGACAGCTGTTTCGACCTATATTGGGTCTCATTAGTGTCGGACAACTTGGTAGTGGAACACACCCAAAATTGAGCTTATATACTGCGTTGGTAAGCCAACAGAGGCGAGATGTAAGACTGCACACGGCAAATTGTATCACAGATACTAATATGGCCTAAAAGAATCTAGAATTAGCCCAACCTAAATTAAATTCGTGTCTAAAATGGCGTTGATACATAATATAAATTTTTTTTCGAAATATATTTTTAAAGCAGTTAATAGATTTAAAAAAATATGTTAATTAGTGAATGGATTAATATGTATATTTAAAAAACTATAATTTAAAATTCTGCAGGCGTGGTTATTTTAAATTTATACAGTGAAAACGAGACAAAAGTGTAATAAATCTTTGGAATCAAATGAAGCTAGTTGAACAACTTAAGAGATAAATTAGAGTTAAGAGTATCCACAGTGTGGAGTAATTTTACTGCTAATTTTGGTTTAGGATTTATTTGCTCGAATTTCATTATTACGTGAAATTCGCAAAATCGTTCATTCCTCTTGTATAATAATAAAAAGCTAAAATTCCATTATGAAAAGGCTTAAAAAAAATATTTAATCAAATAGAGTAAGTAATTTGTAACAAGCCTAATATTTTGCACAAATCTCTTGGGGAGACCTTTAACTTCAGTATAACGAAGTAAAAAAAAAGGGAAAACGATCCCTGGTGACCTTTCCATTGAAGTATCCTTCTGTACTACACGCGCACAAAAGTTTAAAAATGTTTTTTCAAATGCAAAAAAAATGTTTTATTTCCATTAAATTTAATGAGACAATCCTGAACTTATTTAACCAAGTTTTATCTTTAAGAATATTTTAAGTGTTTCTTGAAAGTTTTATACCCCAGTAAACTAAACCAGAACATTATTAAACAAGATTTCCACAGTAATTTGTAGTATTTTTATGTTCTTGTGGATTTAAGTGAAAGTAAACTTTATTAAAAATATTTTAATAAGTGCGCTGTGATTGAAAAAACGCCCAGAACTTAAGCCGCGCTTTCTGAAAGAATTAAATCGTTAGGATTTTCGCGTTTTAAAATTCTTTTGAAAATTTCAAGCAAATCTCCTTAGAGCCAAATTAATTTTATGGATAGCTGTACTTTCTAATAAAATTCGCCAGCAGTGGCGAAAAGAAGCAAAATAATAATTTCAAGTTGAATATGCAAGATCAAAACGATTAAGTTGTACAAAAAGTTTAGTGTTCCCTGAACTTCCTCGCTGCTACGAATGATGATAATAAGTGGAACCTTTTGTACAGACTCGACTCCTATCTCTTGAGAGTGTGTTTAACTCCATTCAAACTTTGTGGTTGCCGGCAAAATCGAGCTTTAAGTAAACTTTCAAAGAAATACTGAAAAATTATGTTTTCGCGCACATATTATTCACCCCTTTACACATTTATTCACATCATTTTTATCACCACTTTATTTTTAATCAAAACCTCACTAAAAGTTTTCAATGGACAGCTTCCGGACCAGATTCAAAATTAACTACTAAAAAAGACAAATTTAATCCTAATTTAATAGTTATCTTCAATAGCAGCACAAAACTGAGAACTGTTCTACAACATTTATTTTTACTGATGCTATATTAAAATCTAAAGCTGTCCCACGCGTATTGGGCAGCTAAAGAGATGTGCCAGCTGCAAGTAAAAGAGAACAATATTAATATTATTATTTAAAAAAAAATTAAAAAAAGAGTAAAATAAGAGTTAAAAAAAGAGTTAATATTAATATTGATATTAATATAGGTATAATTAATATTTATATTAATGTTAAAAAAAGGTTAAAAAGAGTTAAAAAGGAGTTAAAAAAAAGAGTTAATATTAATATTGATATTAATATTAATATTAAAATTAATAATAATACTAATATTAATATAAAGAGTTGAACAATTTAAAAAAAGAGTAAAAAAGAGTTAAAAAAAGAGTGAAAAAAGAGTAAAAAATAGTTAAAAAAAGAAGTTAAAAAAGAGTTAATATTAATTTAACTCTTTTTTAACTCTTTTTACTCTTTTTTAAACTCTTTTTTACTCTTTTTTATTAACTCTTTATATCAATATTAACTCTTTTTAACTCTTTTTTACTTTTAATATTAATATTAATATTAATTTTGATATTAAAAAAGAGTTAAAAAAGAGTTAAAAAAGGAGTTAAAAAAAGAGTTAATATTAATATTGATATTAATATAGGTATAATTAATATTAATATTAATGTTAAAAAAAGTAAAAAAAGAGTAAAAATAAATAAAAAAAAGGAGTTAAAAAAAAGTTAATATTAATATTAATAATAATAAAGGTATATTTATATATAATATATAATTTTAAATCGTCTAATTATTTTTGATAAAGAATTTGTCAAGAAATTTACTTAGACATTTTATGACAATTTTTATTCACGTAGATCATCAGGATTTATATGTAAAGACGTATAATAACAAGACCTTTTTTGTTTATTTTTACAGCATTTTTTATAAAAATATGATTTTTTTAATTGTTCAAGGCACAAGACTGCGGTTGTGGGTTTCCTTCTGTCAAAGGGTATCGATGAAATGTGCCATTTAAATTGTAATCAATTCCATTTGTCGGCTGTAATTGTACACCGTGAAAACCAAGTAAGTCTTTCTTTGTCTCGTTTTACTAAATCCAAAATAAATTTAAATTCAATGTTCACTTAACTGTTTTATTCGCGTTAAATCAGATTCTCGTCTCATTGAATTACTTTTTAAGGAAATTAATTAGAAATATTTGCAAAGAGAAAAAACACCGAAAGAAAATTGTTCGCCAGTAAAAAGCATTTGACAGAATTTTTTATTAAAAATACCTTAAAATGAATTGAATTTTTTCATTATAGATTCAAAATAAATAGAAAAAAAAGTCCAGTATTAAACAGATTAATATCTTAAAATTGAATTTTCCAAAAAAGTCTTATACCGTTCATAAATAATATGCAATAATAAATCTTGGAAGTAACTGTGCAGAAATAATTCTGTTACATCCTTTTAAAAGGACAATGTGGCTGTATATCAAACGTTTTGATACAGAAAGTTTCAAGCAAAACCGAACTCGAATAAAATTGATTATAAAATTGGCTCCTTAAGGAATCAGAACAACAACACCCTTAAAGTTAACACAAAAATAATTGTATTTTTTTTTCACTTCAGGAGTTTTTTTTGAAATGGTGGGTCGTTGACGTGAGAGGTTGAAAGTTGGAAAAAGAAGAAAATAAAAATTTATAGGTCTGGAGCAATAAATATGGAGAGCTCAGAACTAATTGAAATGTGCGCTTGTTTGCGACTTATGCTGTATTAGATGCCCTTTTAATTGCCACACTGTTTTCCTGTCTTTTATCCCTCTGCCGCTGTATTGCTTTACGTCGATTCCATCTTCTCCATCTATTCCACATTATATAAAAATACTCAAATATGCATCAAAAATATGGCTTTTTCGTTTCTGCATTATCATTTGCTCATTTATCCAAGTTTTATGGCTTCCAGCTATTTTAGTGCCGTCATAAATATCTGATCTAAATAGCCATTAAATGCACATAAACATAATAAATTACCCAAATTAAAGACCGAACTTTTTCAAATATATATTAATCCCCCTAAATTACCCTTGTCTGTATCTGATAACTATGCAGTTGTTCAATTACCCTGTGCAGCCAAATTGGTTTAGAACATTTATTAAGTGTCACCTATTTATTTATTTACTTATTAACGCATTTAGCAGTTATAATATAATAAGTAAGTAAGTAAATCGTTGGCTAATTCTAGATTAAATATTGTATCTGCGATACAATTTGCCGTGCGTTCTTGGTTGCATAGTATGCTACGTCTTTAGACGTGATTTTCTTACATTTCACCTCTATTGGGTTACTTGAGGAGTATATAAGCTGAGGTGATCTTTGGTTTGGGGTGTTTTCCATTACACCAAGTTACCTGACACTGATGAGACCCAATATAGGTCGAAACAGCTGTCTGTCGGTATTTAGTTGGTGGAATGCACTCAAAACAAAAATTCTGGAGAGGTGAAGATTCAATTTCTCCTAATTTTTCAGCTTCTAGTTTTTGAATGATGTTAAAAGTTTTTTGCGACAAAAATGGTTTCAGATCATATGATTTTTTTAAAGGTGTTTAAAACGATTGAAAATTGAAAATAACACTGTAAATTTGATAATTGGTTGATCAGGTGAAAATCAGCGAGATGTAATAAATTATGTAAATAGATGTATTGGTAGCAATCAGCGAAAATTTGGTCGATGACGAAGTTAGGTTTGTTGTTTATAATTTGCATGGCGGATGTGTGTAGAAACGTTTGACCAACGGATTTCCAAATGCATAATTTGTGTTTATAATTAGATAGTTATAAACTAATGATGTTTTCGATGGACCGCAAACGTATTAATCCAATAAATGAAATCTCGAAGCTTGACCGCAGCTTCGCATTGCTGAGAATATCGATCACGTTTGCTTTTCCATGTACGAACGGACGTGGAACATAATTCAGCCGCTTCGAGACCGTTAAGGTGAAAACTTGAAGAAGACATCGAAGTGAATCATTCACACTACAGTTAACGCAAACTTGCTTAAGGTATCACTGTTTAAACTCCATCCGTTAACAGCTGCATTATTCTCTGATGCCTTTAGCTTCAGCCG